GTCGTCCCGCCTAGCGGGGCTCTGGGAGGCTGTGGCGTGCGGCCTGTGAGTCAGGCCTGTTCCTGAGGCCTTGGCTCCCACTGGCTGCAGCCTTAGGGGGTGTATCTGAGTCGCCCCTGGAGGTGGTTCGTGCCTGAAAGCGGGAGCTTTGCACCCTGCCGCAGAGGAGCAGGGGCTGCTCTGTTCATCGTGTGCGGGAGGCGAGGGCACCTCAGCCACTTGCTTTTCCAGGCAGGGCTGACCTCTGCTCCCGGTTTGCCCGGTTCCCTGGGACACCAGGCTGATGTGGTGTAGCAGCGTGTTGAATTTGGCCTGTTGGCTCCTGCAGTAGCAGGGAGGAAGCTCGAAGGAGTTCAGCATGATTCTTACAATGGGATTGCAGGGCCAGGAGTTGGAAATGCCTTCTTTCTGAAATCAGTGGAGTGTGACTCTGTAAGCTCTGCCCACAGACCTGCTGGAGAAATGGGTTTGTGCTCTGAAGCGCTGATGGGTACCAGTGGGACTTGCTGACCTTGGCACACTGTTGCTGCTGTGGATGCTGTACCTGGCTGCAGGTGTTTGTTTCCAGTTGTAGAATCCAGTAGGATGGTGGGGTTTTTTCTTTCTTTTTTGCTTTCGCAACAGTGTGTAACAAAGGGCGAATCAAGATGGGTGCATGTATTATGTTTTACATAGTGTCAGCTAACTGTCTCTAGGTTCAGAGTTACTTGATATTATTTATATCAACAGGGTAGAATAATGGAGTGGCTTTTCAGCATGCTATTAATTAATTTTTGGGATCTTCCTGATACTCAAAAGTCACTTAATAGTCGCTTTTGAGTTTACTGTTCCAAGCGAGTTTCTGGGTTCTGGTGTCCCCTTTTCTACAAGCTTATAAAGGTAAAGACAGAGTTGATATTCTCTGGACTGTATCTGTTTCTATTTACCCAGAGGAAAGAGAGGCCAGTTGGAGCCATATGTGTCAACTGGCAGCAACAGAGAGGCACTGAGACCTCATATATTGTTTGGGGAAAGAAGTGGAATAAGGCACGTGTTGAAGGTCTGGGACCAGAAATTTTTGCTGAGACGGATGGACTGAAGTGGAGGGGTTGATGTATGGTCAGTGAACAGCTGCGTTTCTTTTCAGGGCATCCGACTGGAAACTGGACCATCCGGACTGGACAGGACGGCTTCGTGTCACTTCCAAAGGCAAAACTGCATACATAAAACTGGAGGATAAGGTTTCAGGTAAGGGAAAAGCTGTGGCTTGTCAAGACTGCAACTATGGTTGCTGCTTATAAACCTGTGCTTTGAAGCCTGTTCAGAACTGTGCATGGCAGCCCTGGCCATGCTTTAGCAAGAGCTTGCTCTCTTTAACATCCCATTCTTTGTCTGCAGGAGAACTCTTCGCCCAGGCTCCTATAGATCAATACCCTGGCATTGCAGTGGAGACGGTGACTGATTCCAGCCGCTATTTTGTCATTCGAATTCAGGATGGGACTGGTGAGTTGAGGGGTCATGTACAGACCAAGTGCTAGGGGTGGAAGAGACATAGTATGATGGAGCTGAGTGTATGCCAGGTAGATTGAAATTGTGTTGGGAGTACTGAAAAGGCTGGGTAGTGTGCCTGGAGGGGTAGGAAGGCAAGGTTAACAGAGAAGGGTTCTCTACATTGCACAGGGTCCAGGGGCTGCGAAGGATCATTCTGTTGCTGAGAGTGCCACATGGGAAGAAGGGTGCATACTGAGGGCTAGAAACAATGAACTGCTGTGAGCTGCTGGTGTCCAGCTGCAAATATGTCAGAGGGAGGTAGCACAGCATGGTTTAGGAGAAGCAGAAGGATTTTGGAGTGAATGAACGCAGGGACCCACTTGCAGGGCACCTCCAGTGACTCCTCCTGTCTCCTTGCTAGGACGAAGTGCTTTTATAGGCATTGGTTTCACGGATCGTGGTGATGCCTTTGACTTCAGCGTCTCTTTGCAGGATCACTTCAAGTGAGTTGTGCTTTTCTGGAATGCTGTTTTTCCTCTGGCCTGTAGAACATGGCGGGTGGTGGTGCATGTTGATTTAGCCCAGGCTTCCTTGGAATGGTCATGAAGCCTTGCTCTGGTTCCATCAGGGACACTTGAGTGTGCTGCCAGCTGTCATGCAAGCTGAGAGTCCTGCAGGGTCAGGTCTTTAAGACTTAAGCTTAGGTCCTGTGCTGCTACAGGTGCAATGTTAATCTCTTGGGTTTGTGGTGGTCCCAGGTTTTTGCTGTATTATACTGGGAATAGGGAGGTAGCTGTTTTGACAAGACAAGGTAGTTCTTTGGTGGGATGGGGTGAGGAACTGTGCATTTTTTTGGAACCTTGCTCCCCTTTGCTACAGGGTCTTATGTCTTTCTCTCTCCTTTTTAGGTGGGTGAAGCAGGAGACTGAGATCTCCAAGGAGTCCCAGGAAGCTGACACGCGTCCCAAGTTAAACTTAGGGTTTAAGGAAGGACAAACCATCAAACTGAACATTGGGGTAAGCAACCCAGTTTACCCTGCTTCATTCTCTGTATGTGCCAATGGACACCCTTCCTCACTTATCCTTTCTTTTTGTACAGAACATGACGACAAAGAAAGCAGGAGCGGCCAAGCCACGTGTGTCTGGATTGGGTGGCCTAAGCCTGCTGCCACCCCCACCAGGAGGCAAAACTGCAGTCCCTCCTCCTCCCCCTTCTTCCACAGCCATTGCCAATCATGTCACACCACCACCCGTGCTGAAATCCAGTAATGTCAGCAGTGCAGGTAAACATTAGCATAGAGCAAACAGTCTGTCAGACACTAGTAGGTGCATAGAGAGGACTGAGGCTTGCTTCAGGGAACTGGTGTTCAATACTAAATTGAACAGGCCAACAGTGCCATGTGAGACATGATGTGTCCTGAGGATCTCCATGCTTATTTAACAATACCTACTTGTTCTCCATGGAAGGAGGACAGCAGTGTAGCTCCTGTCCTTGCAAAAGGAGAAACAGTGACTTGGCCAAAATGATCTTGGGGGGCTGGGTATGAAATTTAAATAGTTGGATTTTTCTGAACTTGTGTGTGTTTTAAGGGCACTGTCAGAGCTGTGTAGGGTGTCCAGAAAAGTACTGTTGCTTGCTTTCCACAGATAAGTATAGATAGACTTGCTGTTGTTGAAAGATTCAGGAAAAGCACTTCTTCAGTGGCTTGAGGAAGCTTTAGTATAAGGAGCAGAAAGAGGTGCAAAATATAGTGGGATTGTGGATATAGTGGGTTATTTTAAAAATACAGATATAATTTAATAGAATATATTATTTATATATAAAGGGTTGAACTTCACACACACATATATGTTCAATAAGTGCAAGGTCCTGCACCTGTGTTGGGACAATCACCAGTATCAGTACAGACTACGGGATGAATGGATTGAAAGTAGTCCTGCAGAAAAGGACTTAACGGATACTGGTGGATGAAGAATTGGATGTGAGCCAGCAATGTGTGTGTGTGTGCAGCTCAGAAAGCCAACCATTTCCCGTGCTGCAGTAAAAGAAGTGTGGCTAGCTGTTTGAGGGAGGTGATTCTCTCCCTCTGCTCCACTCTTGAGACCCCACCTGGAGTACTGCATCCAGCTCTGGTGTCAGTACAAGAAAGACATAGGCCTGAGCAGGTTCAGAGGAGGGCTGTGAAAATGGTCAGAAGGCTGGAAGACCTCTCCTGTGAAGAAGGGCTGAGTTGGGGTTGTTCAGCTTGGGGAAGAGAAGGTTCTGGAGAGACCTTATTGCAGGTTTTGATATATAAAGGGGGCTTGTAAGAAAGACTGAGAGACTTCTTGCCAAGGCCTGTAGCGACAGGACAAGGTCCAGAGGTTCAGACTGAAAGAGGGTAAATTTAGATTAGGTATAAGGAAGAAACTCTTTATAATGAGAGTGGAGAGACACTGGAACAGGTTGCCCAGCAAAGTTGTGGATGCCCCATCATTGGAAGTGTTCAAGGCCAGACTGGATGGGGCTTTGAGCAACGTGATTGAGTGAAAGATGTCTCTGCCCATGGCAGGGGTGTTGGACTAGATGATCTTTAAAGGTCCCTTCCAAAAAGGGAAAACTGTATTCAAAGCTGTACTAAAAGCCTGACCATACAGAGGTGTCTGGAGAGCTGATGATACTCTGGTGAAGGTGACTTTAGCAGTGCTGTATACAGATCAGACTGAGAAGAAGCTGCAAGCACGTGAATAGGGCTGGGTTCCACTGTGTGGTTTGTACAGGTGATACCTGTTTGGCAGCTGCTATGATTGCTGAGCTTTGTCTGAGTCTGAGCCTTATCTCTACTGGGAGAGGTAACATGTCGCAGATCTGCCAGCTGGTATGCTAGGTGGAGACTGAATAGTTCTTGAAGATGATGTACTCCTGCAGCAGGAGCTGAAGGCTCAGTGCAGATTCAGCAAAAGGTCAGTCCTTAAAAAGTCTAACTTCCTTCTTCTGGAGGGAGAACTGGAGTCTCTTCAAAGATTCTCTGCTCCTGGATCCAGCAGTTTGTGTAAGGAGACAGTTTAAATGCCTTTGGGGTTTTCTTCTTCATTAGCTTGATTTTTTTTTTTTTCTTTCTCCTTTTTTTCCCCCTGCCTTAGATATTCTGTTAGACTTAGATGCTCCTGCATCTGTATCCAGGACACCAGCATCAGCTACCACAGACCTCTGGGGAGACTTCAGCACTGCATCCAGGTAATTGCAGTGAAGGGAACTGCACACAAGAAGTGTAGTGTCCTGATGGGCACTGGAAGAGCCGCAAGTTAAGAAGTCTTATTAGATCTGCTCCTTTGATTTGTCCTTTCTTTATTTCAGTGCTGTTCCTAATCAGACTCCTCAGCAGTCCAACTGGGTCCAGTTCTGAGTGGTCAAAGCAGTAGCATGGAACAAACTGATGACCAAGAGGCTCTAGAGGCACCAAATGGGATCAGAGGGGGCACAAACCTCTCTAGTCTTCAATCAAAAATCAGGACAATCCTTGCTTTTTAAACCAGATCTTCACTTCAGTCAAAACTTAGTATTTTTGATTCCACAGTGAAACCACTGAACCTGAAAAGAACGTACTAACTTACAAGGTGGGCAAGGAGGAGAGAGGTAGCCTCATCTCTTCTACCTGCTTGGCTGTTACATGGTATGTCCTAGCTCTTTTTCCCCATCTTTCCCTGCAGGGAAAGCAAGAATCCTGAAGAAAGTGAGTACAGGAGGAGGCTGGGTAGGTGCCCCTGGGTTCCTTGTCCTTTAAATTTTCTCTGGTTAGACTGTTGCTTTTTGTGGCTGCTTTCAATAGTGACTCAAGTCTCTGTAGCTTGACCTGCAGTGCTGAGGGCACTCAAGGGCACACAAATGGAAGATGTAAGGAGATAGGTCTTGTCTCAACACAAAACCCTCCCTGATTAACTACATTTGTGGTGAGGAGTGAGCTTCCCCATGCACGCACCACTCTTCCTCTCTTTGGTGCAATTCTTGATAGTGCTGGATGTTCCTACCCTCTTGTGGGAGGAGTGATTCAAGTCCTTGAGGAGACCTGCTGCCATTGTGCTGTAGGTCCAGGTGGGCACCCATCTTGAGGCTCCTTGTTTGGCTTGCAGGTTCACTGGAGGAGCGTCTCTCATCTTTACTCTTTCCTCCCTCCCCACCCCCTATGCAAAGGCATTGTCATTGAGCTGCTTTAACTGGAAATAGTGGGGGGGAAAAAAATAAGCCTGTTTTTATAATTTGGTAGTTACTTGCACTAGATGACAACCAGGTAATCCCACCACTCAGCATTTCATGTTCCTGCATCACTGTCCTGAGCCCTGGCCTTGTGTTGTGACTTGGCACTATGTAACAAGTATTGCATATCCATACCACAGTAAGAACTATGGTGGGACAGTGGATTATTCTCTGGTGGAGGGACAGTCTCCTTCCCCTTTTCAGTTCATGCTCATCATTTGGGCAAGAAATGTGTAATAGGCCCAAACTAGAGAATTGTGGCAGCCAAATTCTCCCACCTGTGTTTCTTGTGGCTTTTCTTCTGAAGCTAATTTTCTAGGGGTGTGAGCTGGTTATTGTAATTTGGATATTTTCTTATTTTTAATGTGCCCCAAACCTCCTCTATTTCCTCTGGTTTAGGTGGTTAGAAAGAGGTTGAGGGCCCTTACTCTCTCCTGTTCTCTTCGGGAGTTTCCCAAGGCCCTTTGATCTGGACACTATTCCATCTTCAGCAGCTGTGGATGTGATCTGGGGTGTAAGTCTGCTGATTAATCTGGGCAAAGCCTGTGGGCAGGCTGGAAACCTCACAATGCTAACTGCCTTCCATGCTATCAGATAAGCCAAAACACTAGCTTGGAAGGTGGTCTCAGTGATCCATCTACAGCTGTACCCAGTTATTAGAACACTAAGGTTTTGGTACTTCCCTGGAACACTTCCTGTTTTGAACCCCTCAGTCAGCAGCACCACTCTTGTGACTGGGATATGCTCTGCTAGCACACCTATGCAAGTAAATTTTTCCCTTCAGGGAAAGATTTCCTCGTGAGACTTTTAGCAAAGAATAGTTAGTTGTATGCACCTTGTATTTGGCAAAGGTCTCTTGTCCTTTTTGTCTTCTTACTACATAGGGCATTTTGGAGACAAAGTTTCACTTAGACCATCCCTCTGGGAAGCAGAATTATTGAAAATAGCTCTAAAGCTGCTGCAGTTCCACCGCTGGAAGTGGGGACCAGACTGCTCTTTGATGTATTTTTAAGTAGACCTTTAATCCTGATCCCCTGGCTTTTTTGGTGTTCCCCCTGCCAGCCCTCTCCCACCTTTGTAGTTACTCCTGCAGTCTCATTGTACTTAAACTCCCTGCCTCCTCAGAATTTGTGGATAGCTATAATCTGCTAACAAAGTCATGGACTCTGCAGGTTAGCTTCTTGTTTTCTTTTTTGTTTTTTGCTCAAATCATTGTGAGGTCCTGTCATTTCAACTATGTATCAGTTCCCCAAACCAAGGAAGTTCATGGCACCAATTAACAACTAACTAGGATCCTCTTCTGTATTGTCTTAGTTAGTATTCTGGAGATAATATATTATGTATTTGAAAAGCTGAAGAAGCAAAAATAAAAGATATATGTATATAAAGCATAAGATGTACTGGTGCAAATTGTAATTAAACAAGTAATACTTGGGAAAAGAATGTAATGAGTCTTCTAAGTTGTCAAATTGTTGCTTGGGAAGCCCTGCAGATTGAAGGTCTTTATGTCTCCAGCAAGATCCTAGTAGCCTACTTATCCTGCACATGCTGTATGGCCTGCAAACTGGACAAGAGTAACTTCAGGAGTTAATGGGTTCAGGCTCTGTCTGGGTGAAGAAGTAGGAGCATGGAAGAATGACACAGAAATGACCTACGGCTGTTCCAAAGAGGGTTAAAAAAACCCCCAGCAAACCAACAACATGAAAACAGGCCTGACTGTAGGTGTGTGTGTGTGTGATGCTTGATAAGAATGTGGATAAAACTAGCAAGTGAAAAAACTTGAGTTGCCCTGCCATTTAGCATTTCAGACATTAGAGGCTTCTACACCCTGCAGATGATTTCAGAATTGATTCTTGCTGCCCTTGTAAATGGGAAGTAGTCTCTCTGCTCACTGTAGAGATTAGCAAGCTGAGCCAAGTGGGCCCTTTGTCAGAGAGCAGCAAGGCCAGGCTGCTCTGAAGGGGAACGTAAGCTGGAAGCTGAGTCACAGCAAGGCAGGCAGGGGCAGTAGCCACCCTGAAAAAGGAATAGTCCTGCAGTACCTAAGCAGGAAGATCAGAGCAGATCAGGATAAGGATTTAGATCAGCAGAGTACCTGGCCAGCCATGGGCATGGCTGCACTAGCTCAGGCAGAGATCAAAGGTGAGAAGCTTAGCTGAGATAACCTTGCAGGCAAACCTTGATGAGGTTTCGCAAAGCCAAACATCTATATCATTTAATCTGGATCTGAGCCCGGGCAGTCAATCCCCAAGCAGGTGGAGAATACGCTCAGGGCTCTGATGTTCCATCAAGGCTTCTCATAGCCATCTCTTCATGCACAGCTGTGCTTGATTGGTGTTCCTCTGCCGGACAGCAAAGCTCTACATACAGCTGTGTTGAAAGTACAACGGTCTTGTGGCCTGGGTAAAGATGAGAAGTCTTAACTTTTTAAGTTAGCTGTTTGAAAGACACCACTATATGCTGGTGTCATTGTCAAATATTCTAGCACCTGTCACAGCAAAACCAAAAAAAAAAAAAAAAATCCACGTTTCTTCAAATCTAGGAGCAAAGCTGTTATCTTGTTTTGGTGAATAGGGTGGATAGGTTGCATACGTCCTGGCCAGGCAGAAGGTGAAGGGTCTTGTCCACGAGCTATGGTGAGGCTTCTCTGACTTTTCAGTAGGTACTTGCAGCAAAAAAGGTTGAATAAGCTAAGAGGGTATTTCTCCAGAGTAGGAGGATTTTCAGATGAAGTGTACCTAGGGGAGGTGCTGGGATATACTCCTGTTTGTGCACAGAGAGCCATAGAGGACTGGGAAACAGTTCATGAAGTAGAGCTTGTTCCTCTCTGGAGATCTTCCTGGTCCCCATGTTTTTCCTCACAGTGAGGCCTGCTAGAATGCAACAGGTTGATGGGTCTTGTGTAAATCCTCTTGTCCTTCTCCTTGTCGACCGTCAGGAACAATCTTTCCATCTCTAGTAGGAGAAGTTGGCTGTGATGGTAAGTTACTGTTGAAATGTCTTGGCCTGTGACTGGACTGGCTGAATCCTCTCATCTCTTCCTGTGCTTTCTGTTGCTGGTGGTTTCTTCTACTGTAGCAGAAGCCAGTATGCAGGCTTCTTGAGACCTACAGTCTCTGATGTTGCAGAAAATAGTGTTCTCTAGGTAAGGGATTAAGGCCAGGCCTTTAGTGTGTGTCAGCAGGTTAAACTGCAATATCTCCTGAACATTTATGTTCCACGTAATAGATTGACTGGTTTCCTTAGACACGTGGGAAGAGCTGCCCTCATTCTGAGGGGGATTGACAGTCAAAGGGGGAGAAAAGTTGATGCCAAGTAGGAGACAGACTGTAGGATGTAGAAAGAATCAAGAAACAAGTGTCAAAGGGAAGATCCCAGTTTTGTCTGGTTCTTGATTGTCATTTCGTTTGCAAGAGCTGTAGTTGAGGTGGGATGTCAGCATTTCACCTTTACCCCCATTAATTCTGTTCTATGTTCTGTGACTTAAAACTCTTGTCTTACAGCAGTGCAGTAACTGTTCTTGCTACACCCACACAATATGGATTGCAGGCACGAACTTTCTAGTGTTAACTAGCCATGCACAAGAAGGGCGTATGATGCTTTTTTCCCAAATTGCAGCAGGCTGCAGTGCTCCCACACTGTCCCCTAAAGCTGGGGGAACTCAGCTCCTGCAGAGAGAACTGCAGCATCCTGCTCATCCCTGCCCTAACCAGTTCCTTGCAGGAGGGTACACAGTGGGATCACTTACTGCTAGATCCCCTCTCACCAGTGAAATCCCTTGGGAGCTCTCAAGGAGCTCTTACTGCCTGAATCCCTTTGATTAGATATCTGCCATCCCTTACTAAATGCTCAGTGCACTTGGCCTCATTCCCCATGCTTCAGTGCTTTTTTTTTTAATGCTCTTCACCTAGCTGTGAGGGCTCTGCTCTCCCTTTATTACCTTCATGGCCAATTCTGCCTTCATCCCTAGGAGAGGAGCAATGTGATGTGAAGAGGGAAGACCAAGTGTACATTCACTTCTGATGCTCTCCTAACTCATGTGCAGGGAAAAAAAGTCGGGACTGGGTTTAGTCTGTCTTTATCTGAATGACCTGGAAGAGTGCGCAAGCTAGAGGTGCCCTATGAGTAGATGATGGCAGGACTGTCCTATCA